TTTGACTCATGTTGTTAGTCAAGTCTGCAAATACATGGCTAAACCTGAAAGGGGACATTGGGAAGCAGTCAAGTGGATTTTCAGGTATTTAAAGGGTACTGTAGGACATGTAATCATTTTTTACATTCAACAAGATAATCCTTCAGTTGTGGGGTACGTTGATTTTGAATATGCTGGTGATTTAGAACAACTGAAGTTGAGTCAATGACAGTAGCTGAAGCTGCAAGAGAAGCCTTATGGCTTGCTGGGCTAGTAAAAGAACTGGGCGTTGAGCAAGGTGGAGTTCAGTCGCATTAGAACCAAGCATATTGATGTCAGGTATCACAAGATCAGAGAATTGATTGCTTCTGGTGAGATACTGTTGCAGAAGATTTATACTGATGAAAATGCAACTAATATGTTGACCAAGCCAGTTACTATCAACAAGTTCTTACATTGCTTGAACTTGTTGAATGTCTGCAGTTGCTAGAGAAGCATGGTGGCCCAACCCACTTATGGTATGTAAGAAACTCCATGACGTATTTCTCCTAAGTGGCTGGATATTCTCCATGGTGGATATTTGGATATGACTCATATATCATAAAGGGACAGATTCTGGAGCGGAGCAGAAGATTCTGTCCAAATCAGGGGAGTTTCCTTATGTGGGTTGGGAGTGAGGTACAGGGGTAATTTGGTAATTGCATATTGTACTCCAGGATTTTCTAGGGTTATAAATAGGAATGTATGTAACCCTATGTGCTATCCCAAATTCTGTAACCATTTTCTGAATATTAAAACGAATTCGCCGCTCTGCTCCCGAGGACGTAGGCATCTTTGCCGAACCTCGTTAAATTTTTTTATTCTTCTAGATTTGTGTCGATTTCTGTTTTTCTTCACCCTAATTTCTCAACAATCCCCAATTGACTTTGTAATTATAAAGTTAGGATTATAATCCCTAACTAACATTTTATTTATAAGATAATCATGAAGTCGCCATTATCTACAACACTTGTCTACATGATTTATTTATTTCCATATACGACACACTCACATCATCACCTATCTATATATGTTGTATGTTCACATCATCGCCTATTTGTGCATGTCATTTGTCAACAATATTAGAAGAATATGTAAATCTAACTAACCTTACATTATTATCATTTGTGTAATAGTTTGCAGTTGATTTTTTTTTAAAAGCGACAAACATAAATATGTGATACACTTATAGAGACTACTAAGATAGCCAAAATTAAGACATGAGAGTTTAAATAAAAATATAATTTACTTATTAATTAACTAATATTAATTTTAATAAAATTTACTATGTAATACATATTATATTTCTTGCATTGCTTGTACTTGTTGAATGTCTGCAGTTGCTAGAGAAGCTTGGTGGCCCAACCCACTTATGATATGTAAAAAACTCCATGATGTATTTCTCCTAAGTGGCTGGATATTCGCCAAGGTGGATATTTGTTAGATATGACTCATATATCATAAAGGGACAGATTTTGGGGCGGAGCGGAAGATTCTGTCCAACTCAGGGGAGTTTCCTTATGTGGGTTGGGAGTGAGGTACATGGGTAATTTGATAATTACATATTGTACTCCAGGATTTTCTAGGGTTATAAATAGGAATGTATGTAACCCTAGGTGCTATCCAAAATTCTGTAACCATTTTCTGAATATTAAAACGAATTCGCCGCTCTGCTCCCGAGGACGTAGGCATCTTTGCCGAACCTCGTTAAATTTTTTTATTCTTCTAGATTTGTGTCGATTTCTGTTTTTCTTCACCCTAATTTCTCAACAATCCCCAATTGACTTTGTAATTATAAAGTTAGGATTATAATCCCTAACTAACATTTTATTTATAAGATAATCATGAAGTCGCCATTATCTACAACACTTGTCTACATGATTTATTTATTTCCATATACGACACACTCACATCATCACCTATCTATATATGTTGTATGTTCACATCATCGCCTATTTGTGCATGTCATTTGTCAACAATATTAGAAGAATATGTAAATCTAACTAACCTTACATTATTATCATTTGTGTAATAGTTTGCAGTTGATTTTTTTTTAAAAGCGACAAACATAAATATGTGATACACTTATAGAGACTACTAAGATAGCCAAAATTAAGACATGAGAGTTTAAATAAAAATATAATTTACATAATTTAATTATTAATTAACTAATATTAATTTTAATAAAATTTACTATGTAATACATATTATATTATACAACATGCTATATCGCCATACTCAGAATTTTGAAATCAAATTAATTTACATTAATTAACAAAGATTTCAAACTTATTTTTACTAAATGGTTAGCTTTATTTTAATAAGTTAAAACAACTTAAAATTTTTATTAGTTGATATACATTTCAAATTAATTATACTTTAAGATTGATTTTGTTAATTAAATTATTCATGAAGTGAAGAGCTAATTGAATTGAATCAAATATAATTGATCTTGCTATACAAAATAGATCATATGACTCAATGCACCAAATAATTTTTTTTTTTAAATTTCCTGACAAGCTTAAATATGAAAATCAGTGAGAGATTTAAAGAGAGCTTGGGAATCATTAAAAGAAGATTTTCTTGTGACAAAAAGATTTCACATTAAATTTAAGAACATTACATGTGTAGTCCACATTGTTGTTAAGAAAAAAGGTAACTCTCGAGTGAATGAGATTACGTGCAAAGTTCGGATGTAGAATTACATGCAGACACCACACAAATTACAATGAGTACAACATTGTACTCATATTTTATTAGATGTCCGAATGTAATTCGATAGTCGAACTCTGTGCGTAATATTCTTTTAAAGGAAGGACTTGACGAGTAAATTTAGCTGTATGTATGTATGTAAACCTTTCTTTAAAATAAATAGAATTGCATTTTATGGCTTCCACTACACTTTTTATTTTATACATTTTTACTACATATGCTCTTGGCATTTTTAATATAATGGAAATTATTATAATATTTATAATAGTTGATTTGATGATGATTGAATGATGTATTGAATTTCTCTTGATTTATAAAGAATATTATAAGATAACTAGTTAAATATAAAAAAAAAAACAATTAGAATTAAAATTTATTATTTAAAGTGTTCCCATTGATTTTCAATTTAAGGAAATAAATATATTATTATTTTTAGAAAAAAACAAAGTTAGTCTTTATTTAGAAATCACATAATAGTGTATAGTAAATTATACACGGCTGTATATATATATTTGGCAAGCTTATGATATTTTTGTAATGTACATAATTATGCATAACCCCTTAAAATTAAGTTAAAGGTTAAATGTATAACATGTATGGAAAAATATTACATCAAGACTCTTTATATATATTTGGCAAAGCTTATGATATTTTTGTAATGCACATAATTATGCATAACCCCTTAAAATTAAGTTAAAGGTTAAATGTATAACATGTATGAAAAAAATATTACATCGGGACTCCTAACATAGAGCTACGTTCGGAGTCCAATGAAATGACGTCACGTGGAGGTGGTGGAAAAATTTAAAAAAATCGTTTTAGCGTAGAGGAATATTCCCTCCGTGTTATTTCACATTATTCAAGTGATATTGTGGTGATATTTATGTGTTATTGTGTTCTGAAAATATTCCCGGTGTTATAATAACACAATAACATATCAATATCACCGCAATAACACCTAAATAAAATGAAATAACACATGAGGAATATTCTCCTGTGTTACCGGGTCAGATCACAAGAAATCACGTGCGTTATCTTGAAGCCACGTGTCTGCATATCATTGAACTCCGAACGTAGCTCTACGTTAGGAGTCCTGATGTAATATTTTTTCATTATCTATAGGCACTTTTTTTTTCATTACAATTAAAATCATGGAAAGTACAAATTTTTTTTTTCAAAATTTATCAAATTTTGTATGATAAATGCATCTATATTCAACCCTTTAAAATCAAATTAATTTTGTGCAAATATTATGGAAAGCCCATAAAGTGTTTTAATTGCATGTATTTAACTATCAATTAATGAATTTATAATATTTTCTACAATTGCAAATATGCACAAGTAATAATTTATACATATTTATATAAAGTGGCATATAAATATGTAAAAATCAAAATTTTGATATTAGATATGTAAATACATATGAATTTAGTTGTCTCTGTGTAAACATTTCTTTAAAATAATATATATTATTAACTTGATGGATAACATAAATAATTACAACCCATTGAAATTCCTATGGACATGTGAATTTATCAAGGTTGCAACGCCAAAATAGTCCCCAACTATTTACATGGGACCGTTTTAGTCATAGAGTTTATAGAAGCACCGCCTAAACTTTTTAAATTGGGGCTTATATTGTCCCCATCAAACACTGTTAGAGCTCAATTTTAAAATAATCAGAAACTATTTTAGCACTTCTATAAATTTTAGAAGTGAAACAATCCCATCTATTTTGGCACTTTATGCTAACTTTGTCAAAAATTCATTTGTATGAATTAAAAAACATATAATTGGAAAATAGAATAAGTGATTTCAACATCAGTGTTAGAAAAAAAATAAAAAATAAATACTGAAACATAAAAATATGAAAAAGCTGAAAAAAATCATTCATTCTAAATGTAGAAATACTACTAATAAAAGCCAAAACTCCTTACACATTGTGCACCATACACCTCTCTTTCCCATCCTACCTTAACCTCACCACCAGTTATGAATATGCTGCCTTCAACTAAGAACAAACCCATGAAAAAAAAAAAAAAAAAAAAAAAAAAAAAAAACACTTGGGGCATTAACAGACATAACACACAATTCTTTTGTATTTACATATCTCACGCCTAAATTTTTATATTTACACAAATAATCTTAAATATCATATAAAAGATAGCACTATTATCACTTTTAAAAGGTGAAATATATGTTCTCATGCAAAAAGTTTATTGCACCAAAGTGCTATATATATGTAGATATGAAAGTTTTGGTGTGAGACATGTAAATACATAAGAATTGTGTGCAGCTTATGTAGATTTCCCTTTTTTTGAGCGCTCTAAACTGACCCATTAGAATTTCTCACATTGTTTACAACTAATACCCTGAGGAGTGTGACAAAAATTTTTGTATCAGTGCACCAGAATGTAAATCAAAGATGAAATCTTTATGAGGGAATTTGATTTTGTTTATTGCGACTCGACGGGTTCATGTGGTATTCATGAGTCTAACAATAAGTATTAGAGGGCGCCGCAGAGACCCCAACAGCAAGCCAGAGAAACCTCATGCAAGCCCAATGGCAACAGGTTACAGATAAAAAGGTAAAAGGGTTTATTATAACATACACTAACTATCAATAAAGAAAAAACAAAAGCAAAAATCCTAAGCTATGGCTAATCCTAACCTGGTTATGTAGCAGAAGTTCAGTTCTGATATAAAAAGCTGCAGATGTCCTCCATTTAGTCTTTCAGCCCCTACATGTAAGCTTTTGCAAGGAGAGACTCCGAAGGTTTTGGTGCAACATTTTACCACCAACACATTTCCTCCATTAACTGCAAGTAAAAGGGATATATGTTAGGAAGCAAAGGTAATATACTGCCTCGAATTCTCAACCATCGAGATATTGTCCATTTGGGACTAATGGCCTCATGGTTTTGTCTCATTGTTGTAACTTCTAAGGAGGGCACTCATTCCGACTCTTAACTTTTTTGAGTTTCATATGAAATTCCAATATGTCATATCAAAAGATACCTCGACATTTAAGAGTTCAGCTTTAATCTAATTAGGGGCATTTACATGCATACCAACAAATTCCTATGTTTATACATATCTAACACCTAAAGTTTGCCTTTTTTTGACATTTATGCCACACAAATATTCCATATCACATCAAAAAGACCATCATTTTAACATTCAAAAAGTGAAATATATATTTTTTTTATACATAGGTAAGGTGGTATGCATGTAATAATTGAAGTTTAGCTCTTAGATATGTAAATAGATAGGAATTGTCAATTGAGTGGTATGAATATAAATCTTCCTTCTAATTATGGGGTTTCATCGATAAAAACAATCAATATACATATGTAAATATCACTAACATCATTCAAAACAACATATAAAGACCAATTCGACAAGAAAATTGAATAAGGTTTGTGAATTCAAAATTGATTAGAAACTTTATTATATGAAAGATAAGGAGGAATAATCGTGATGATTTCTAACCTTTGTAATCATTCCACTCATATTTGATGCGGAACTAACCAAAAACACCTCTACACTTAGGTGAGCCACACAAACATTCCTTCGGCCCCTTAATTCCGGCAAGAGAGCTCAACTTATCGTCCCCGCTCACACCATAGTCAAATGTGAGTTCTGTCATAGGAGGAATGTGCTTAATGGCAAAGAACATAATATGTGGATATCCTTCCTCCCCATGATCATACAAAACTGGTTGCCAAAAAACATTTGGTGAACAACTATGGTTCATAAAACGCGCTATATTGCCCACATTCTTCGCATCGATGATTATGGGAAGCGGCTTAAAAATCTCATTTTGATTTATACTCGGTTCACCTATCAACTCAGGAGTATGATTCCACTTTTTCGTCTTCTCGTCGAGGTAAGTTGCACGAAAATTGTAATGTGTCTCTTCGCCATAATCATCAACTTCTATCTTTTGAACGACTTCGCCGGCAAACTCACATATGAAGGTGCCCGCTCGTATAGCGTCCCAGGACCGAAGACCCCACCCCCGGTCCCTCGTCCTGAAAACTTCAAAGTGAAGTTTTAAGCCCTTTTGGGTCACTCTATTTCGACAATTAATTGTGCAAGAACACAAATTGTTGCACTCGTAAACCATGGATTTTCGGCTCACGAGTAATCCACTAGAACTATAAGGCAGAATGCCGTCATTCTGCTGCGAGCAAGAGCAATTGGCATCACCTGGAAGGCAGACACTAAGGCAAGGACAACTCTCCAAAGGCCTCATGGAGCTAACAGGCCTCATATACTTCAAACTAGTTGAATAAGTAAAATGGTTGGGCCCTTTGGCATCATCAACCTCATTCACAAGGCAAACCGGTAAATTTTCGATGCCGGACGATATGTCGGGAAGGATAACTTTGCCTCTAGACGATGGATTCGATCTCCATTCTGTTGTTCGCTTCCACACACCGAGTCCTTCTGGTTGCCCGGGTTCTCTTAAGAGCTTATATTTGAAGATGTTGAAACCAGACTTCCCTTTATCAATCCATGATTCATGAATCTTATAAAGCCCATCATAGATGTAAATCTTACCGGAAATTAAGTTCATGTCTTTGGCGCTGCGAATCACCCTCACGGAATTGCCTCTATGCATGCTTTTCTCAAGAGCAAGATTACCCCTTTCAAGCTTCTGATCGTCAAGTTGTATTTTTTCAGCATGTCTGTTACCTACTCCACCGCCCTGACCGGTGTAAATCAGAACATTGGCATCACCCTCATCGTTTTCGTAGCCGCCGGAGGAGACGATGCTGATTGCCGCCGGTTCATCGGCTCCAGAATACTTAGTTATCATGTAATCAATGCCTCCCATGCTTGGAGCATGCATTCCAACCAAACACAGCTCGATTCTGAAGAAGAAGATGTCTCCAACATCTACACCAGGAACAGATCCAATCCTTTTTCCCACGTTAGCACGAAGATCGTTGGCTGTCATTATGGCGCCGGCCTTCAGGTCGGCGCGTTTGCTTGCATCTGTTGTCTCATCCAGTTGTAAGAGTCTCCGCCGGAGAGCGTCGAATGTCATTAGAACCACCTCAACAGACTCTCTGGGATCAAGAGATGAGGGACATATTAAAGACAAATCTGTGATTTTTCGAGGTCTCTTTCTTCGCCTTGATTTGCTCCTTTCACTGCCTCCTTCTGTTTCAGAATCACCCCAACCATTGTAAAAACTCCTGCTCATCTTCCCAGAGGGCTTAACCTTCCTTCCATAACTGGAGGTATGGATGGCTTGCTCAGAATTTTCATGGAGGTTAATGGGAACTCGTGATTGGGGGTAGGGGCCATTGGCGGCAAGAGGTTGAGCTTTGGCCGGAGGAGAAGATGGAGCTGGAGCAGTGAAGAAGGCATGAAAGCTGTTCTCAGAAGAAGATGAGTCGCCGAAGGGGCTAACGCAGACGAAGGGAGGAGATGAACCAGAAAAGCTGAATGTGGTGTTGAATCCATAAGGAGCAGGAAACATTGGGGCAAGTGATCTCAAAGGCTTCACATCCAAGACAGCATCTTCCTGTGTTTTTCGAGCTTCCATGTCTGAACCCTATCAGGATCACAACTCACAAACCTAGGGAATAAAGATTCACATAAACAAAAAGAAATTTCAGAGCTTGATCCCATTCAAAGAACAAAGATGGAATTTTTTACAATTGACAGAACAAATTATCAGGAGGATTAGCTTACTCGCAGATACTTCAGGATAAAGATAGAGTTTTTGCAGGAGCTTTTGATTGATCTGAGAGACAGAAAATACTTGGAACCGAGGATAAAATATTACATCCGGACTCCGGATGTGCAGATAACGGCCCGGATGGAGGGGAGAAGAGGAGGAATCGGACCTCCGCCGAGGATTGAAGAAGGAAGAAGAAAGAAGGTTGCTTTTTAGGGCTGCTGCATAAAGCTCAAATTTTTTGCTTCAATAAAACTAGATGGATTCTTCCTGCATAAAGCTCAAATTTTTTGCTTCAATAAAACTGGATGGATTCTTCCTTCTAACCAAAATATACTCAAAAAGAAAACTCCAGTTTTTCTATTTTTCTTTTTTATATGTTCGTGGATTGCTCAGCTCGAGAAGGGTCCCATTTGTTTGCTCGATCTGCGAGTCAAAAATAAGAAGTGGGGATTTCAGCCGTCGGATATATTCCACAAAAGTCGAAATTTTGCAAAAAAATGTTTTTTTTTTTAAAAAAATTATTTGATTGTACTGTTTCAGCTAGTCAATATTGACTAATTTTGAGCACGTTTTGCGCTTTCATAATTTTATGCCTTATTTCTCTTCATTTAATATATATTTACTACCATCCATAATTTTTTTTAAGAGAAAAATAATTTAATAATTGAAAATATCATTCAAAAAATTAAGAGCCATTAATCATCAATATTTATAATCCACTTGCAACTCACAAGTGTATAAACACAAGTTCATACAATATTTAAAAAAGAATTAAAATAAGTTATAATTCATTTAACTTATTTCCATAAGCTCCCCTTATTCTCTAAACAAATTCTCTACTTTCATGATTTAGTTTATTTTTTTTATAATAAGAGTTTAAGTGAAGTAATATGTTAAATTAATAATAATTATTATATTAAATTATTTTTTGCATATGTTCTATCATGTATATTGTTTAAAAATACTATCAAATTAACATTTTATTTTTAGTAAAATTTTAAGGAAAATTTAGATAGGCAGCACACAATTCTTATGTATTTATATATCTCACACAAACTTTTATATTTGCATTCATAACGTGTCATACTTTGGGTATAGAAGACAATACACCTAATGAGAACTTATTTTATGTTCGCAAAATAAAATATCATATAAAACAGCCATTAAAAAAATAATAAAAGATAAATTTTATTTTATTTCATAAATAAGAGTCAAACAACTGATAAAATTGAAAAAAAAAAGAAATAACTTGAAAGAGAACTGAAACTAAAATAGTAGAAACAACTATCTAAAACTCAAAAAGAAAAAAAGTATAAAAACTAATACAAATATTAAAATATATATACATATATATATATATATATGTATATATATATATATATGT